CTAGAGCAGCAGTCCCCAACCTTTTTGGCACCAGGGATCAGTGCTCCTATGAGAATCTAGTGCCTGATGATCTGAGGTGGAGCTGAGGTGGTGATGTTAGCACCGGGAGCGGCTGCAAATACAGATGAAGCTTCGCTGGCTAGCCCGCCACTCACCTCCTGCTATGTGGCCAGGTTCCTAATAGTCCCGGCCTGCAGTCCAAGGGTTGAGGACCCCTGTTCTAGAGAATAAGAATTGTTTAATGATACCAGCATAACCTTAATACCTAACTCTTACAAGAAAGGAAAATGACAGACTAATCTCAAGTGATGAATATAGGTGCAAAAACCCGATATTAAGATGTCTTAATTAGTTGCTTTTATTTTATATGAACATCATTTTGAGTCTGCACAAAACAGCTATAAACTTTGCTCAAAGATTCTAAAGAATAAGCATGAAGTGCCTGAATTCAGAGAGTACAATTTTACATGTATGTCATTAGAGCTCTGCTACGAAAACAGTATATATGTAGATGGCTCTGGGAACAGCCAAGAATTTGGGATGGGACACAAAGGTATTTCTCTTTCTCTGCAGCTCAGGAATATATGATTGCATATTCATTCCTAGATTCCAAGACAAGTTCCAGATGAATAAACAATGACCTTCTGTGTTTATAGCTTTAGGAGGAAATTATTATCCTAATTCTTTTTCATAAATGCAGTATAAAAGAGACATGTAACTTATTTCTATCCTGAACCATTCTCATCTCATAAATTAAAATTAGGAACACAATGAATAACCACCTTATCATTTAGTTTCAGTTTTTAAGAATAATCCTTACCAACAAGTTCCTTACTTCCCATAACACTTTAGTCAGAATCCTAGACTGTGATCTATATTCATTTGATGTTCTGCCAAAAGCTATTTCTGATATTCATATCATATGCATTTGGACAATGTAAAAACCTTTTAGCAATTTAGTCCACCTTCATCCCAATACAGCTAAGTGTACTTAGTCTCTGGAATATTATTGTTTCCCTCTAACTGCAAACACTGAAGGCAAGAAAAATCAATAGGTCATTAACATTATCAGATATGTTGTCAAAACTTTCCCACTCATACATTTCCCAGATATGGCTTTTCCCTTCTGTCCATTCAAGTTTTGATGTTCTTTTTCTTCCATTTTAATAGTTTGAGGTTTCTCTATTATAAAACAAATACTACTGTACTTTCTACATTTTTAAAATCTGAATATATTTCATATGTCATGCAAAGCTTTCTTAGTTACGACACTCCAAAGTTTTTCCAAGTATGGTTACCAACTTCAAAGTCAAATAGACATAAAGAAACATCTAATTAGCCTATGTAAAAGTCTACTTATAAAATATATGTTAACAAATAAAAACACCTAGAATGCCAAAAAAACATTCTACCACTCTGTTAATACTTGATACTGCAAAGGGGAAATATCTTATACCCTATATATCCTGGCAAAAGAAACTGCTATGATTCCAGAAAAATAACAGCAGTATAACATTTGTATGTTCAACTTATAATTTTCATGTGGACTATTTAATAAGTCAGTTGTATGCTGTTGTGCATGTTTGCCACATTAATATTCATTATCTAAAAACTGCCAATGCAATTAATTTTAAATGTGAAGTAGAAATTTATATCTCAGAGGTACTATCTTAGATACCAACCTAAAGAAAATTCTATTGCCTATCAAGAATCTTAACAGAATAAACTGACATGAGACACATGTTGTCTGTTGCACAGTGAGTCAATTCTGTTTATATTTGTTAAATATTATCAATAGGAGATATATAGATATAAACGTCTTCTTGAATATCTTAAACCAACAAATTTTAGTACTGTAAACTATGTTAAAATACGCTGTAAACTAAAATAAGACAGAAGAGCTTAGAATTTTAACAAAATATAAACACATATATGTCAACATGATTCTGTATGATTCAAGTTATAGTTAAAATTATTATAGAATTGTACTCTTTTTAAGGGTTTTTGTTTTATAAAATTCAAGCAATAAATATCTTATTTCTAGAATCCTGTAATTGTTATTAAGGCATTCAATGAAACACTATGATAAGCAATCTTTTCTAAAGAATCAAAATTAGATCTATATGCAATTGGATAGGAAGAAGTAAATAATAAATGCCTGTGTGAATTACAAATACTCCAGCTTTATAAAAGTTATTTTACCATGTTTTTGGACATCACACTTTCTTTATATATAAGGAAATATCCAGCCCAGAAAAATCATTAGCAGACAATAGACTACCTAAAACTTGAAATATCAACGATGATGGAAAAAGATTGTTCAGCCGAGTGAATGGGATGGCACAATATTCCTGCATGTATGAACAGTATATCTCTGTTACTTTGTTTATCTCTCATATAAGTTAAAAAATTTGGCCTGGGGAACATTTTTTTCTGTTATTAGCTATATTTTTCCTTTTAAATAGCTAGTTTTTCTTCTAACTTCCAGATTGATTGGTCTTGTTATCATTTACTTATATTTCTTTTCTAGTCTAGTCAAAATGTTTCTTAAACAATTCCTGATTCTCAAACTTCATAGACACTACTTGTATTTTTATCTCTCCTTGTTACAGAAAGCAATGAAATAAAAAAATGAATGGTGAATTTTCTTGATAGGAAGAGAATTTACATATTAAGAGTTTTGATATTTGAAATTTCAAATAACATATTGTGTACCAATTTTCTCTTTTTAAAAAACTACATTTTAATTTGTATTCGCTGTAAATTTCACAATGTAATGATGTGCATCCCTAATAATCACTTTGTTATCTACAGGAATTGGACTCATATTTAGCCCCAGAACAGCACTGAGCTTTTCCATGCTTGCTATAGGACCAGAAAATCTCTCTGTTGTGTTGTTTCATTATTATACATCATGAGGAAGAAAATAATCATCAAAATAATAAATTAGAAAGTGACCTTTAAACTGTTAACTATATACACACATGTAAAATAGAAAAGTAAGTTAATGTTTTTCCCTCTATGTTGAACAGTTACCATCCAATTCATATATTCAAATTTTTATTTATTCATTCATTCAAAAAGTACTTACTAATCATATCATATATACTGATCTCTACTATGTCATGTGAAAATATTAAATGTGCAAAATTATAATGAATGAAAATCTATTTTATTTGCAGTTAACATTATTATTTGAAGGAAAATAACTTACAACCCGTTTTCTCCCTCATTACCTGGAATAGTAAAATAAGGAATCTTCCTTCCTTTCCCTAATTTCTGCATACCTTCTTCCCTTCTATCCATGATCTCTATGAAAATTCAGAAAGTAATACTGTAAAATTGTTATCCCAACTGCTCCCACTCCATTCAAAAAGTTTTGAAATGCCAAGGGCCACTCTGGATAAATTGAAGTGTTTGAATAATTTAATATTTATTGGATGCATTACTCTCAAGTATGATATTTATGTAATTCTAAGTATATTGGCTTCTAAAATAATAAGATTATTAATTCCAAGTTGAAAAGACTTTAAATGGAACACATCCATGTTTCTGATATAACAATTACTTATCTTCTTTGTGAAATATATCAATTCAAACACAAAAAAAGATTATCAAGTCCTATACACAATAGTGTTATTGTCTATCAGCACAAATAGGTGCTTTGAGACATGCTTATAATTTCTATGTACTTACAAACACTGAGTGGAGTGTTATGCTTTAAAAGACTTTTTTGACAAATGGTATTCAGGATTAGTATAGCCTAGAGAATATGCTGCATTTTATTAAATGGTATATCATTCAAGAGTCAATTCAAATGCCATCTCTATCACAAAGCCTTCTCTAATTCTCTCCTCCACACTCACATGTTCTTCCATGTTTTCTCTCTCCCTTCTTTAAATAGCCATTATAATTTACTTTTACATTTTTTAGGTTATCATCATTTTAATCATGCATCGTAAAATTTGAATAAATGTCTCATCTTCCATGATATTAAGCTCGTATTGTGCAATGATACATATTTTTCATTCCCGCTTTAGGTATCAGAATGCTTTACACATATCTGTTGCTCAAAATATTTTTTTGAATGAAGGGATATTTGCTTTAAGAAATTCCTTCAAGAAATTCCTAAAAGGAATTATTTAAAGACATTTCAGGTCATTTATTTTCTGTGCCAGAAATTTTGGCACTTTATTATTTTTAATTTTTGACCTTTATGCTATATTACTTTTATTGTTCTTCAATTTGTTTGAATTTCTTATCCTTGTTTCTCAAAAATAAACTATAATCTCTTTGAGGCCAAGAACAATCTTTTAATACTTTTATACTCCCAGTAAGGCACAGGGATTGCTAAACATGAGTGTTTAACTCAATGGATTAAATGTTGCCAAAGGCTCTTCTAAGACATAGCCGGTGGCCATCTCCTGGTCAAGAGAATCAAATCCCATAAAATTTGCTTACCATGACATTGATATTTGCATGCTCTCCTTTCCTATTCCGAATCTGAATATGGGAGATTGGCAAACTGAGTCCTACCCCAGCAGCCAGATTTCTCAGGTCAGCAGCATTGTATTCCCCACGCAGAAGCAAACTGTTATTATCAGAACCAAGTCCTAGAGAGGCCCGATAAAGATAGGTCTGAGAAAGTCTCTCAGTCGTAGTGACATCTATTGTGGCTGATGTCATGCAAGGATTTGAAGCCATGTTCCTTCCACACCTCGGTTCCTCTGGAGAGCAATAGCAGCTCTGAGAGCAACAACCTAGGTTCTGGCACAATTTGATACACACACAAAAAAGCAAGCATCCCAGAAATAAAAAAGAAATACAGGCCAGCGCAATTACCAAATACAGGTTCTGGGCAGAAAGGTGCCCTCCTGTTTCCCAGGCATCTTCAAAGTCTGGAAGGACCTGAGAGGCAGAGTTGCTCAACAGCACACCCAGTGTGACAGAGGAGGAAAGTGATGGTTCTCCATGGTCCCGAACCACTATCACCACTCTCTGTTTAACCACATCATTGGGAAGAACTAAGCGAGCAGTACGGAGCTCTCCCATATTGGCTGAAATTCTAAAAAGGCTAGAATCTGAAGCCCGAGAGATGTGGTAGGAAAGCCAGGCATTGGAACCACTGTCTGCATCTTCTGCTACCACTTTTGTGACCAAGTGTCCCGTTCTGGCAGAGCGGGGCACTATTTCCACTGGGACAGAACCATTTCTGGGCAAGGGAAACAAGATTACTGGAGCATTGTCGTTTCTATCTACCACAAACAAGTTCACAGTCACCGCTGCACTTCTGGGAGGAATGCCACCATCTCGGGCTTCCACTTGAAAGTGAAACCCCTTGAGCTGCTCAAAGTCAAAGGAAGTTTTGGCAGTGATAGCCCCACTGGATGACTCTACTGCCACCAAGCTAGATGCTATCTGCCCTTCAGAGATAATATCCAACAGTTCATAGAAGACAAGGCCATTCTTCCCCAGGTCTGGGTCCTGGGCAAACACACGGCCTAAAGAGGCTCCAGGGCCATTGTTTTCAGCCACAAAAAGTTCCTGTTGCTGTTGAGGAAAGCTTGGTGTATTGTCATTCACATCAGCAACTGACACAGTCAGTGTCCTGTGGACGGTAAGCGGGGGTGAGCCACCATCTGAGGCGGTGATCAGGACCTGATATTCGCTGACTTGCTCCCGGTCCAGTGGCCCGTCAATCAGCAAACTGTAGTAATTGTCAAAGGAAGCCTTCATTTTAAAAGGGCCTCCACTGGACATGCTACAAGTGACCTTCCCATTGGGACCAAGGTCCTCATCCCTTACACTAAGGAGAGCAATCACTGTGCCAGGGGTGACATCCTCGGAAACTGGACTGGAGAGAGTCAGGAGGTTCACTTCAGGGGCATGATCATTCACGTCAGTCACTTCCACCAGCAGTTTGGCGGTGCTAGCTAGACCGAAGGCGCCTTCATCCCTTGCCTCGATGTATGCCTCCAACAGCGTTTCAGGCAGACCTAGCGAAGCAGCTACCCTCACTTCCCCACTTCTAGGGTGCACATGAAAGTGGTGTCGCAGCTTTGCGTGCGTGCTATTGCTTAAGAAATACCGGATTTCCCCATTAGTGCCTTCATCCGGGTCTGAGGCCTGCACTCGGAATAACACAGTCCCGTTGGGCACAGTCTCTGGCACCTTGGTGCGGTATACTGTGCGCTCAAATACAGGCGCATTGTCATTTGTGTCCACCACAATGATGGTGACTTGGGCGTCTCCAGAGCGTGCGGGCTGCCCGCGGTCCCGCGCCGTGAGCACGAGCCGGTGCGTGGCGCGCTCCTCGCGATCCAGCGCTTTCTCCAATACCAACTCTGGATATTCGCTGCCGTCGACCCGCGACCCCATGTCCAGGCGAAAGTGCTGGCTGGGGCTCAGCCTGTAACTTAGCACCCTGTTACTTCCCTCGTCGGCATCTTGGGCATTAGGGAGAGTAAAGCGGGACCCAGGCATTAGGAACTCGGGGATGTGCAGCTGCACGTCTCCGGCAGGGAAGAAAGGCGAGTTGTCGTTGGTGTCCAGGACGTGAACGCGCATCTCGTGCAGCTCCAACGGGTCCTCGAGCACCAGTTCATAGGTCAGGACGCAGGCAACTTTGGCCTCACACAGCCGTTCGCGGTCCGCTGGCTCTCGGACCACCAAGCTACCGCTGGCTAGATCCACCCCAAAGTAAGGCTCGTCGTGGCTGGAAAGGAAGCGAAAGTTCCGCAAGGACAAAGCTGCTGCTGACAGCCCCAAGTCCGCGGTAATATTGCCTACGGCTACGCCCCGCTGGGTCTCCTCCAACACTGAGTATTCTAGATGTCCAGCGGCAGAGCCGCAGGAGACCCACCAACATAGAACTGCCACCTTCCAGCCAAACATCCTCCCTATTGGCATACTCGCTCCGCCAGCGGTGACCCGGGACCATGCTCTGGACCCCTGGAGAGCACGAGCCTTGGTAAAGAGCAAGGGCCTGCCGGCCGCTGCTGCCGGCTAGAGGTGCAGAGACCGCCAAAGTTCCTCCTCCTGAATACCGAGGTTGCCCAGGGCCGGCCGGCGGGGAGCTAGGCTTGCTCGACTGGAGACTTAGCAACCGTCTGGGAAAGCGGAGCCGGCCGGGTGCGGAGGAGCGCAGCGCCGCCTAGGGGTGCAGAAACGAGGTAAACGGCCGGGTTGGGGAAGCGCTGTCTCCACTCCTCGCTGGCTGGGATCTCGCCGCGAGTCCTGGCAACGCGAGCAGGGCGGGGCAAGGAGGAGGCTCCGAGAACCTAACACACCTTCCCTTAACGGTGTTTCCTAGGACAAAGCCCCGAGGCCGCCTCAGTCTTAACCTGCACCACCTCTGCCTTAAGACTTATAACTGGGGCTGAGCTCAGCTAGTCTTCTCTCGTCAACTGTTGGAGAACGGAGCGTCTAGCTTCTGCGTTTGGACCCACGGACCCCCTACTGTGCCCGCGGAAGAGGGCGGAACTCCGAGAGGAACCGCGGGGCGGAGGCGGTAGAGGCGGAACCGTGACCGTGAACGACCACGCCTTCGAGACTTAAGGAGATAGCAGCCCCAAACCCAGTATTGTGGTGCATTCGGTGCTGGATTCCCAGCCTCTCCGCTGTGGGTTGAAGTCTCTCTTGCACCTTCTTATATCCCAGGAGCCTCCAAGATTTCAACAGAGGCGACCAGCGAGGGGCAACTTGGGGAACAGTGCCCTCCTCAAGTTTCCCCGGAACTCCCGTTTTGCGAGGCACCAAAGTGGGCGAGCGCAAGGCTTACGGTCCTACGTTCCGCTTTCCCCAGGAAGCCCTACTAGGAGTACTTGCAAGCGGCCCTTAAGGATGAGACTGGAGGTCAGGAACCAATAAATATCAAGCACCAGAAACTCAGAAAGATTGACAACTCGTCCCCAAACAGGACGTGCGAAGTGTAGCTGAGAGGAAGTACCGAGATACTCTCCAGAGTGTGACCAGAAAACTACTCTGTAAATTTACTTTCTGTAAATATTTGGAAAATAGTAATGAGCGTAGGAACAGGCTAGATGCCCATACTTTCTCCAACTTTGTTTTTTAAGCCAGGCTTAAGCACTGAAATCAGGATAGTGATCAGTTACATGAAAAACTTCTCTGAGCTACAAGAAATACCTTCAAATTCAGCCTAACACCCTACAACCAGTTGCTTTCCCTGAAAAAGAGGCGAGCTGAAAAAGAGATTGACTTAAATGACTGTTAAACACTAAATTCCTCATACTCAAACCCTTCTTTTAATACAATTGCAATATTCAGAGCCCCTAGAACCAAAATTTGAAAGACAAAAGCTGACTACAGATCAAGAACTGAAGCCTTCAGGGCATTCTATTTTCTGATCAGAAAACAGCCTAAAAGTATTGATAATTATTGAAGCTGAGTGCAAGATACATGAGGGTTACACACTTCTTTCAACTTCAGTATATGTTTGAATATTTCAATATAACTTTTTAAATTGCTGACTAAACTGCAGTGGGGAGCAGGCAGCTCCAGCATTCTGGTTTTAAGACTAAAAGTGGAATCGCTAACTTCTGTGTACCACTAAGAACCAGTCACCTCCCTGGAACATCAGAAACCCATCTCTTATCTCTTCCAGAAAGGTAGGGCAGGCTCCGACATAAGACAATGTAAGTAGTAAAAGCCCTTGACTAATTTTTTCTTTCTGAATTAAGAAACCAAAAAATCATTGACCCCATGTCTTGGCTAAAGCAGGAAACATGTCAATCAGCCCACTGAAGTGTTAGGTAGAGTCATAAGTATAGCCATCATTGGAGAATGTGAAATAACCCATAAAGATTAAATTTATTCTTCACTAAATTTCAAAATCAAAACTATCTACTTCATTCAGTGCCAGAGATTAGGATTTGCATTACATCTTAATTCAATGCTGCTAACCAAGCTAACTGCTTGGAAGTGAAAGCTTATACTTTTCACTTTTCCATTAGCAGCAGATGAAATACACCTGGAGAGATGTACTCAACTTTTGGAAGGCCCTGACTTTCAGCCCACCATCTGCATCCATATGTTTAGGCATAACTGGGGTTTGTAGAAAAGTAATATTTAGGAGCTATTTGGATATCCCAAAAATGAGGAAGTCTCAAGAATTTTTCCTTTTCTATAAGATGACTAGGTAAATATTAAAATCATAAATTAACAAAATATTTCTTTATCAGAACCATTCTTTTCTACTATTTCATTTTGCTATTTTCCATAGTTTCTCCTCACTCACGCATTTTCAAGCTTTTAATTAGGTACAAATACAACTTTAATAAGTGGACTCCATGCAAAAGCATAGTCCTGATTTCTGCTTAGACTCATTGCCAAGACTATTATTTTAAAGCTCTTCCACCAAACTTGGCCTTAAGCTGTAATTCAAAAGATTTCTAGCCATAATGCATAAGCTCATATTAGAGATCGTGAAGTCAAACATGAAAATAGTAAATCTGATACTCACCAAAGAGTTTGCCAGCAAAATAATATCGTTCTTTAAATAAGATTTTCTTAGTACTTAAACTTATTCTCTGGGAATATACTATATATTTATGGAAACTAAATTCAAAGACAAGACACCACAATCACATTAAACAAACCTGCATCCTATAAAATAGCTTAGTAAAGTATCCAAATCAAGTCTAACAGAGTGGGAGTTCTTTGAGGGTAGAAATCTATATCACTATGTCACTTTTTTTTTTTACTTGAACCCTTGACCAATAACACATTACTACAGAATTTCTTTATCAAGTTTCTAGTATCAAGGAACTAGTTTTTCCCCTTTATATAATATCATATAAAGTTTTTGGACCTTTCTTTATGAATCTTTGCTCTAATTAATTCTATGCTGTGTTTACTTACTACTTTTTATAATTATGTGCCAATTTTTCAAAATTGACCTTCTTATAAAAATATTTTTCTATTTCATCTTCAAAGTGTAGCCCTCAGAACTTAAAGTCATACTCCAGGCTGGTCAAATCAAATCCAAGAAGAGGAGATCTGGTCTTCTGATTCTAAATACTACATGTCAAATAACAGAGTCTAAAATTGCATCTGGTTCTTTAACAGCTACACTACATACTTTTTAATGATGGATAGAAAACTAAAATTCACACCCATTTTTTCTTAGATGCTATTAAGTCACAGATCAAAAAGTCCTAGACTTTTATACTTACTTTTTTTTACTTAAATTTGCTGAATGTCACTGTATTAAGAGCATCAGTTTATTAGATAATGTCTAACCTGCAATAAAAATCTGAGAAAGATACTATCAACAGTGTCTAAAAAGGACTCTACACAAATCTCACATTATATTACAGTTTCCAGAAATGCTAAACAAAATATTACCAGATCATTATTATGATAGATGCTTAAAAGAAATTTGATAAAAATTTGGCAGCTATCACAAAACAGTGGTCATCTTCATTTTAAACAGTAAAACACCAGAATTATTCCCATGAAAAATCATGAGCATAACAGGACACTTTATGTCATAGTTATTATTCAACATTGACTCAGATATTCTAAACAAGATAAGGAAATGTGCATGAGAGGGGTGTTAGAAAAAAGGATAAAATATATTATTAAATGATAAATTTATAGGTAATATAATTTTCTGTTCATTAAATCCCAGAGAATTAAAGAAAAAATAATTAGAACTAAAGAGTTCAATGAGATGATTAGCTTAAAAATAAAAATAAAAAACAGCTTTTCTATATACCTGCAATAACTAGACAAAAAGTGAGATTTCTACCAATTATGGATAAGTGAAAATGGACATTTTAATGTCCCTTCTCCTCCACAAAACCTACCAAAAACAATAAAAAGTACAGCTAACAAAAAATAAAATTACTAAAAAGAAATTTTAAAAAATAAAATAAAATTACATCTTTGATGAAACTTTATAAAACACCTGAACTTCAACCATGGTATGTATGAAGAGAAGTTCCCAAATGCCATGAAAAGTGGATCAAGATGCACAAGAGGATTCCTGACACTGGAGATCTTGGAAGGAGCTGGTAGATTGGAGTTTTCCAGGATAATGGTTCACACTGAGATGCAAAACCAATGACTCCTTGCTTAGAACAAAAAGATCTAGGTACATAGGCTGAATCAGGTATAACTTGCTCATAATTCTGTTTCTAGCACAAAATTAGAGAAAAAGCAGGACTCAATGTGATAGTGAGCAGAAGCGCTATTATTTCAAGAGTGAACCCAAGGATGTAGTAAGATAAAGAGAAAACTTTGGATGATGAATTGCTCTGTAGCTGCCAATTCTCATCAGCTGGAGATATTTAAAAGCTAAAGTACACATTAAATAAGGAAAATAAGGAAATGAGGACATGTTCACATTAGTCCAGGGTACTACTGGCCCGCCCATTTACATTCTCCACCTGCAGATAGCTGGTCCTGAAGGAACTCTTCTCAAAGATAAGTAGTAATCAAAAAGGAGCCAATGTAGGATCTACATAAATATTACAAGAAAGAATAAGAAAATAAATATGAAAAATTACAGATAGAATTACACACCTGAAAATTTTTACTACAAAGCGGATAAAATTTTTGACTATAGGTCTCTAGTCAAAAGATCCACAATTTTAAAGGTTCTCAGAGAATTAAGAACTAGAAACAGAGCAACAGAATTTCAAGGAGAAAAATGAAAAAGCCACAGAAAACCATGAAAGCTGAGCTGGCACAATTCATAAAATAAATGGAAGAGAAATATAAATTCATCACAGAAAGTAAAGCCACATTAGAAACAGTAAAAAGGTGAACAGGCTCTGCTTGGTACAGTCAAGAACAAAAAGAAACATTTGAGAAGGTTGAGGAAAATAAATGGAAAGAACAAAGAATTTAAAAGATTTAAAGGGGAAAATAGAGCTTTCAAACACAGAAGAAAGAGGTCTAGCATATTCTGAATAGATGTCCTTAAAGAAACCAAATATATAGAAAAGAAAAAAATCCAAAGACATCAAGAAAAAGTTTTGAGATATAAATAAACTTCATATTTCAACTTTCAGCAAT